CCCTGTTCTGTGTCTGACAGGGTGTGGTGCCCCAACCACCCCCCCCCCCCACAGGTCCTGTTCTGTTTGTGACGGGGTAGAGCCACAACCTCCCCATCGGCCCTGGTCTGTGTGTGACAGGGGGGGGTGCCCCAACTCCCCTATCGGCCCTACTCTGTGCATGACAGGGGGGAGGTCCCCAACCCCCTGATCGACCCTGCTCTGTGCGTGACAGGGAACTGAGCCCCAACCCCCCTGATGGGCCCTGCTCTGTGAGTGACAGGGGGTGGCGTCACAACCTCCCCATCAACCCTGCCTTGAGTGTGACAGGGGGCGGTGCCCCAACCCCCCAATCGGCCCTACCCTGAGCGTGACTGAGGGTGGCATCGCACCTCCCGATTCGCCCTGCTCTGTGCATGATGGGGCGGGCCCCAACTCCCCAAATTAGCCCTGCTCTGAGCCTGACCAGGGGCTGCACCTAGGGATTGGGCCTGCCCTCTGCCACCCGGGAGCAGGCCTAAGCCAGCAGATCGTTATCTCCTGAGGGGTCCCAGACTGCGAGAGGGCACAGGCCGAGCTGAGGGACCCCCCCCCCCCCAGTGCACAAATTTTTGTGCACCGGGCCTCTAGTATATATATAATTGAGAGAGATAATAGTTGGATGGACTCTCTGCAAATAAAAAAACTCTATTCAAATAAGGAACTATAAGAGAGAGGAAGAGGGAGAGAAAGGTGGAGGGGGAGAGGAGTGGTGGGGAGAATTGTTAGCCAAACAGATGAGAACTAAGGAAAACCACAGTAAAGACGTTGCTTGGCTGCCCCAGTGACTGCTCCAGCATGCCCAGCATTGACAACTTGCCAGGTACGTTCGTTCTTAGAGCTTTACAGAATTTGATGTTATCCTCACAGTATTTCTGTGAGGCTCGGTCCTAGTGTTAGCCTCATTTTATAGAAGAGATAGCTGAAGCACAGAGAGGTTTTGTAATTTTCCCAGTCTTACAGCTGGGAAGTGGCCGAGAAGGGATTCAAACGCAGGCCTCTACCTGGGAAGCCGAGCTATTAAAATCATCTCTGAGCACCGCGAAGGGTTGGGTGCCTCTGAGGCAGACACATGCCCTGGTTTTTCCAAGTTATGCACTGAGCGCATGCACAAAGTCCGGCTCCCAGCTCTCTCGTCTCTTCACCAATAGCGTCTCGTCTCCATGGAGATAGCGGTGGGGCGGGACTTCCTCTCCCACGTAGGAGCACTTCCGCCGTGATCCGGAAGCGCTGGGGTAACGGAACGGTGTCGGCGAGCGAAGATTTCTCGAGGGTTTGAGTGGGGCCGCGGCGATGCTCACGCCGGCGTTCGACCTCAGCCAGGACCCCGACTTCCTGACCGTCGCCATCCGCGTGCCCCACGCTCGGGTCTCCGAGTTCGACGTCTACTTCCAGGGCGTCGACTTCAGGTTCTACGCCAAGCCGTACTTCCTCAGGCGAGTGGGCCTCGCGTCCCTGGCGGGTCTCGCCGCTCCCCGGGGGTGGGGGGTGGGGCCCGCGGTGCCCGCCGCTGCTCGGCGCCCGGGACCCTGCGCGAAGAGGAAGTGCTCTCTTCGCGCAGAACAAACCCTCTCCTGGCTTCTGGGCCTGCTGGGCGCTGGACGCGGCGGGAGCCCGCTTCCCCTCGCCCGCCCGCCCGCCCTCCGTCGCACTCAGCGCCACGTTAAAGGGCTTCCTCGACCGTGAAGGTGGCTGCGCGACCAGACCGCGCCTTGCCGGCTTCCGCTCCTGCACCCCGCGCTGCGTGGGTCCTCGCCGGACCGGCGGGCCGTGTCCCTCTCTCAGCGCGTCCTGCCCGCGGACCTCCTACCCGAGCGTCCCCGACGGCCCTTCCCACCGGGAGCCCCGCCGCCTCTCTGTCGCCCCCCCCCGCGGAGCCGGCAGCTCCAGCCCGACCCCCACCACGCGCCTCCTGGGATGTCCTCCCTTCCCTACTCACTCACCCATTTCTGTGATGGATTTGTCATTCCATGGTGTCTACCAGGCGGGGTTGTCAGGCTGGGGATGTGGTTGTAGCGGGGACAGAAAAGTAAGTAAACTCAGAGCTGCAAGTCGTAGGAAGTGCTCTGTAGGGAAGACATGGCGGAGGAAAGGGCGCCCTGTTTCTGTGAGCGGATGTTGGACGCAGGTAGGACAGGAGATGGTGATGGTGTCAGCACACAGTGACTGAAGTTCACTCCAGTCGGTGCTTTCTGTGAATGACCTCCTTTGATTTTAGGAAAGTCCGGCAAAATAGGTTCCAATTATTTACCCCTGGTACAACGAGGGTCTGGTGGGCAAACTTTTTGACTCGAGGGCCACAATGGGTTCTTAAACTGGACCGGAGGGCCGGAACAAAAGCATGGATGGAGTGTTTGTGTGACTAATATAAATTCAAAGTAACATCATTACATAAAGGGTACGGCTTTTTTTTTTTTTAGTTTTAATCATTTCAAACAGGCCGGATCCGGCCCGCAGGCCGTAGTTTGCCCACGGCTGGTCTAGGTAGTACTACTGCCCTCCCCTCTGTGGACCTGATTCCCTATATGGCCTTCTTATTTTTATTTTTTTAATTTTATAATAATTCTTTATTGTTGAAAGAACTAGAGGCCTGTTGCACGAAATTTATGCAAGAGTAGGCCTTCCTTCCCCTGGATGCTGGAACCAGCTTCCCTCTGGCACCTGAGACCTGGTCTTCCCTTGCAGCCCTGGCTTCCTACCGAAGGACATCTGGAAGGGTGTCCAATCTAATTAGCATATAATGATTTTATTATAGATAAAATATGACCCCCTCCACCTCACCCCTGTCCCCTTCCCTCTCCCTCACCACCCAATTGTCTGTGTCCATGGGCCATGCATATATGCATACAAGGTTCTTGGTTGATTACTTCAGACCCTCCCCACCTTCCCTCTGAGATTCCCCAATCTGTCCCATGCTTGCATGTGTCTGTATCTATTTGGTTCATCAGTTTACTTTGTAACTTCGATTCCACATATGAGTGTGATCATGTGATATCTATCTTCCTCTGACTGGCTTACTTCACTTAGCACGATACTCTCCAGGTCCTTCCATGCTGTCTCAAAGGGTGAGAGACCCTTCCTTTTATACTGCTGCATAGTATTCCATGGCATACATGCACCACTGCCTTTTCATCAGGTCATTGATGGGCACCTGGGCTGTTTCCACATCTTAGCTATTGTAAACTGTGCTGCTATGAACAT